GAGCTCATATGCACCTCTCTCGAGCACTTTGGTGATGGTGTAAGGTCCTTCCCAATTAGCTTCAAGCTTCCCGACATGTTTAAGAGCATCTGCTCGTTTGAGGACGAGATCTCCAACTTGAAATCGTCTGGTGCGGACTTTTCTGTCGAAGGCTGCACGCATCTTCTGCTTGTATTCCATGGATCGCACCCAGGCCTTCTCTCGTCCTTCTTCTATCATGTCGAGGGACTCTTAGACCATCTCCTCGTTCTTCTTTTCCTCATAAAATTTCGATCTGTGTGAGTTTAGGCCGACTTCGATAGGCAGGAGTGCATCCATTCCGTAAACCATGTGAAATGGCGACTGTCCTGTTGAGCTTCTTGGGGTCGTCCTCTAAGCTTATAGGACTGTTGTCAGCTCATCGTCCCAAGCACCTGTTGCTCTCTCCAATCTCTTCTTCAGTCCTTGGAGAATTGTTCGATTAGTCACCTCGACCTGCCCGTTAGCCTGGGGGTGTGCGACCGAGGCGAACCTTTGTTTTATTCCCATGTCGAGGCACCATGCTTGAATTCGTTTCCCCTGGAACTGAGTTCCATTGTCATAAATTAGCACCTTCGGGACCCCGAATCGACAACAGATATTATTAAACAGGTATTGGATCATTTTTTCCTCCGTAATCTTTGCCAACGGTTCCGCTTCGACCCACTTGGTAAAATAGTCGACAGCGACTACTAGGAACTTCCTCTGCCCTGTTCCCATTGGTAGTGGTCCTACCAAGTCGATTCCCCATTGTGCAAAGGGGATCGGGGTGTTTATGGTCGTCATGTATTCGGCGGGGATGTGCGTGATTTGCCCATGTCGCTGACATTTTTCGCATTTCTGAACCAGCTGCTCTGCCATCGCTCGCATCTTTGGCCAATAGTATCCTGCTTGCAGGGCCTTGCCTGCCAAGGCTCGTGATCCTACATGTGCTCCGCAACATCCTTCATGTATTTCTTTCAAGACATGATTTCCTTCGTCTTCAGAAACGCATCGCAAGTGAGGCCCAACCAGAGATTTTTTGAACATGATCCCGTCGACCTCGAAGTACTTGCTTAGATATCGAGCAACCCTTTTTGCCTCCTGCTTATCTCCCATGGGTACTCGACCCTGCAGGAGTTCATGAATCGACTTTCTCCAGTCGTCCTTTTCCTCGACTTCCATCGTTTCGCCCAACACGCTTCCCTCTAAGTGCATGGTGGTGATAGAACTTCCCATCTTCCCCTCATTCGAGCTCGCAATTCTCGTGAGCCAATCTGCTTGTTTGTTTTCCTCTCGAGGGATTTGCGTTAGTTCAAACTTCTCCAGGCCCTGCACAAGGCTTTGGATTTCTTCGACATATTTCAAAATTCGCTCTTCTTTGATCTTGCAACTTCCCAACACTTGTCCAACAACTAATTGCGAGTCGGAATGCGCCACAACTTCTGATGCTCCTCCGCCAATTGCGAGTTGAATTCCTTTGATTAACGCCTCATATTCTGCTTCGTTATTCGAGGCCTTAAATCCCATTCTAATAGCAAAGTCAAGTTGTTCGCCCTCGGGTGAGACGAGAACGATTCCAAGACCTGATCCTTTGGCCACCGAGGACCCGTCGACGTGAATAACCCACTTCTTCTCGTCTCCTTTTGTACCTTCCTGGATGAAATCCGCCAGGGCTTGAGCTTTTATGGCTCGCCTCGGCTCGTACTTGATAGAATATTCGCTCAGCTCAACTGCCCACTTAACGAGTCGACCTGATACCGTGGGTCGACCCAATGTTTCACCCAGCTGGAAGTTCGTCCTGACCACTACCTCATGATTCAGAAAATATGGCCTTAGTTTTCTAGCCGTTATCACCAGTGTCAAGGCGGCTTTCTCAATTTCAGAATATCTTGTCTCTGTACCTTGAAGAATTTCGACTGGTGTAGTAAATTGGCTGTTGGACACCTCCTTCTTCTCGCAATAACACTGAACTTAGTGATACCGAACCCACAGATATATAAAGCACCAACTCATCGTCGGATTCTGGTTTCGTCAACAAGGGTAGCTCGCCCAAGAATTCTTTTAATTTTTCGAAGGCCATTTTTGCTTCGTCACTCCATGAGAAGGTCGACTTCTTCTTTAGTAATTTGAAGAACGGGAAGCTTTTTTCTGCGGCTCGAGTAATGAACCTACTCAGCCCTGCAATTCGTCCCGTCAGAACTTGTACATCTCTTATACTTCTTGGTGGGGCCATGTCGAGTATGGCCTTCACTTTCTCCCGGTTTACCTCGATTCCATGCTCTGTGACGATATATCCCAGGAATCGTCCTGCCTTTACTCCAAAGGCACACTTGTTTGGGTTCAGCTTCATCCCGAACGCCCTAAGAGTTTGAAATGTTTCCCTTAAATCGTCTGGGTGTGAGGTCGAGGCTTTACTCTTCACCAAGATATCGTCCACATATACCTCGATATTTCGCCCGATCTAAGATTTGAACATTCGATCCATCAGCCGTTGGTAGGTTGCTCCAGCATTCTTAAGTCCAAAAGGCATGACGACATAGCAGTACGTCCCTTTACTCATCACGAAGCTCACCTTACTTTGATCTTCCGGGCATAACGGGATCTGGTGGTACCCCTGAGATGCATCCATCATACTCAATAATTCGCAACCAGCCGTAGAGTCGACGAGCTGATCAATTCGTGGTAAAGGGTAATAATCTTTTGGGCAAGCCAAGTTTAAGTCACGGAAATCGATGCACATGCGCCATTTGTTTAGCGCCTTTCTCACCATCACGGTGTTGGATATCCACTCGGGAAATTGGATTTCTTTGACATGTCCTGCCCGCAGCAACTTATCCACCTCGACTTCAATTGCTTTGTCGATTTCTTCACCATGACGTCTAAGTCGCTGTTTTACTGGCTTTCTGAGGGGTTCGACGTTGAGTTTATGTTCCATAATAGCGGGTTCGATCCCTGTCAACTCCTCAGGGGTGAAGGCGAAAACATCCCTGAACTCCTTTAGTAGTGTGATCAGTTGGTTTCGTAGCTCGACTTTCAGGTCTTTCCCGATCTTAGTGGTCTGTTCCTTTGTTTCTCCGATTTGTATTTTCATTAGCTCCCCGTGGGGTTCGAGATCACTATTCCTTGGCCTTTTCTCGTTCATCATTGGCTTCTTTCCCTCCTTAACTTCGGCTCGTTGGTTGGTTTTTACAACGATTTGATAACAAGTCCTCGACAGCTTTTGATCGCCTCGAGCTTCTCCAACTTGGTCTCCGACTGGGAACTTTAGCTTCATATGGTAGGTCGATACTACCGCCCGGAATGCGTTAAGTGCTGGCCTCCCCAGGATCACATTGTAAGCTGACTCGACATCAACCACCACGAATTTTACCATTTTCACCTTCCGCAAGTCACCTTCCCCTAGAACGACAGCAAGCATGGTTTCACCTAGGGGCGCGACCTCTGACCCGTTGAAACCGAATAGTGAGGTATGGAAGGGTGTGAGCTGTATGTCGAGCTCCATCCTTTTGAGACAATCGTAAAAAATCACATTTACAGAACTCCCAGTGTCGACAAACACTCTCTGTACTTCATATCCCAATATTTGGGTCGTTATCATCAATGCGTCGTTCTGAGGCCTCTCAACTTCTCCTGCATCTGCTGGACGGAAGTTTATTACCGGTCCATTCTCATCGACTTGTTGTATCTCGACTTTTCCATGGCACCCTCGGGCATACGCCTTTCTTGCTCGATTCGAATCCCCATCAGTTGATCCCCCAAATATCATATGTATGGTTCCCCTTTTCTGTGGGAGCTCCTCTTTCTCCGGCGTTCTCACCCTTTGCGAGGGCTCCTGCTTCTTACCCTCCTTCTATTCGACTTTTCCCGATCTTATATATGAATTCTTTCAAGTGTCCTGCCTTAATCAGTCTTTCGATTTCGTCTTTAAGGTGCCTGCAGTCATCAGTATTGTGACCATAGTCTTTGTGGAAACGACAATATAGGTTACTCTTCGGTCTCGTTGGTCCGTCCTTTCTCGTCTTGGGCCATCTGACAACATTGTCATGAATCTCTTTTTCCATCACCTCTAGAATTCGCGCTTGAGGGGCCAACAAAGAAGTGTATTGAGTCGGCCTCCAACCCCTAGGTCGCCCCTCTCTCTCTGCTCGCGGAGACCCCTTTCTCTCCCCAGCCAAGGAAATTCTCTTCTTCCTTCTCTCATCCCGAGGTTCAGCTCTACTCTCTTTAGCCGTTCGCGAGAAATCGATCTCCGCCTCCTCGACATTCATATACTTCGCGCATCTCCCCAGCACTTCGTCGAACATTCTACCCGGGCGCTTTGCCAGAGAATTCCTGCACAAGCCCGGTAGCAACCCTCGCGTCAAACCTCCTGCCTTTATCTCCTCCGACGCCCTAGGCACCTCGACATATGCTCGCGTATATCTCGCCACATAATCTCGTAGCGACTCACCTTCCTTCTGCTGGATGCCCATTAAGGTCAGATACGATTTCTCCTGCGGTCTAACACTTGCAAATTGATTGAGAAAGCTCGCACAGAATCCTTCAAAATCCTTGATGGCTCCCGCTGGTAGTTGGTGAAACCAATCCTGTGCAGATCCCCGCAAAGTGGTTAGGAAAGCTCGACATTGCACAGGGTCATTATAGCGATGCAAAACCGCCATATTCTCGAAACTCCTCATGTGATGAGATGGATCAGTCGACCCGTCATAACTTATGTTCAGATCACGAAAACCTTGCGGCAGGTCGGCATCCAGGATGTGCTGCGAGAACGGATGTCCCTTCGAGCCTCCAACTTTCCTCCCCTCGACTCGGGCCTGTAAATCACGAACCTGGGCCAGCAACTGCTCCAGCGTTTCATCTCTCGCCTGCGGATTAGCGGTCCTTATGGAGGACGCCTCCTCCTCCACCCTTCTGATTTGCCTATCATTGGACTGGGCTTGTTGCTCGTGATCATGGGGTGGTGGCTCAATCCTGCGCTGCTCGATCCTGGGCTGCTCGACCCTGGGCTGCTCGATCCTGGGCTGCTCGAGCCTGGGGTTCTCGACTTGTACCTGCTCGAGTCGGGCTGCCACCGCCTCCGCTATCATTCTTTGCATCTCACTCCTCGTCACGGTCATCATCTGCTCTTCGACCTGGGGTGGTGGCATCGTCACTTGTTCCAGCACTCTGGATTGCTTTCCCAGGCTTAAAGTCGTTTCTGTGGGCTCGCGGTCGTCGGCTCTCGTGTTCGTGCCCTTCACCTGACTAGGTTCTCCTTGTGTTATCCCCGGAATTTTTACCCCGAGAGACGTGATGGGTGTTTCTTCCTCAATACGCACCCCCGACGGCGCGTGTCCCCCAAAGGGTGGAAAACCGAGAACCTGAAGCGGTGGTCTAGGGCCAGGAATTGACGGCGGCCGCTTGTCCGTCCACGCTGCCCTGAAGTCCTCGTTTAGATTTCTCGATAATCCTTCCTTCTCCGCCATGTCAAACAGATCGGAACTAGGCGTGAAGCTCTTACTTCCTTCAAGAACTCCCCACAGACGGCGCCAATTTGATGATTCTCCTCCTAGATCTGGAGTGAACCGGTGGAAATGAGCTCCGGTCTGTTCAAATTGTCTCCAAGTCGCCCGTGGACCGCTGTGAACACCTGCAAGAACTCAACACCGGAAGTGGTTTCCGGTGAAGAGCCTCCGATGCTCAAGTCAGTGAATGAGGAGAGGAGGAGCTTTGCTCAGTAGGAGCAGCAGCTGAATAATGAATGAGGATAATAATGGTTAGGGTTTGGAGTCACCTCTACTCCTTTATATAAGGGTAGAAATGCTCACTGGAAATACCTGAAATGCCCTAGCCGACTTACATGAAGTGTCCAAAATGCCCTGGTCGCTTCACATTCTGCCCACTCTCTGAGTCAGCACCTAGATTCCTTCTTATCTCGTATAGATTCTCTAGCTCATGAAACCCTGCTTCGACATTGAGGTAAATGTGAGTCGCCAGAAGTACTCTAAGTCGATTCGGAGCCTTGTCGAGTCAACTTATGGTCCTGTCAGTATATCTGAGGTTCTTAGAATGTTCATTCGCCTTCTAGCGCATAAGTCGACTTAAACCAAGTCGACTTCCTAAAGTCGTCTTTTGATCGTCCTTAGACCAGTGG